GTAATTATTTGTACACTTTTTTAAAGCTTGAATTGACCTTAAAATCAGGAAGTGTTACGTTTAAATTAGTTATCTTTCCACTTGTCGAGACCAATTAAATTTAAAATAATAGCAATAGCTAATAGATCATTCATTCTATTGTTAATTCCAGTTCCAGACATGTATGAATCTATTATAAAAACAAAATAGGTAATTTCATACAGGGTATATGAGCATAATATTACTTATTTTTTCGTGTTAGTAGTACATAAGTTAATAAAATGGCAACAGGGCAACAGCCAGTTGTCGACTAGAATAATTTGAAGATATAGTGGTGGGATATTAGCCGAACCAAATGCCAGTCACAACGCCAGAGAGTCTAGCGACAGCGGGGATATCGTAGTTACCACATGTTAGCTGTGAAAGCACGGCTATGCCTAATACAAAATAATAAGTACTGTATAGCATTGTAGTTATATCTAAATACCTACAATAGATTTAGGATGTAGGGGACTATAATAGAAAGAATGTTGTGAATTTTATACCTATCAGGGTAGACATATCAAAAGAAAAAACCTAAAATCAAATTAGATAGGTAACTACATTTATCTTTGTATTTAATTACCGGTGTTAATGCAACTAAATATTCTATATCGGTCTGTGTGAATTTTTATGTATGTAGGTATGTTACGAAATTCGAAACGGTTTCTGTGGTTGTGAGTTGCATTTCTAATGCTTCGTGCATTTTTATGAGAATCGTCGTATCCCCGTATCCGTAACAAGCTCATTTTGAATAATTTGAAATTTGATACCATAATGATAGAATATTGAAGTAGATGCGGTGGGCGGGGTTAAGTGGACGTAAGTGAAGCATCAATATAGCGGCCGTATCAGGTCCAGACTTTTTTTTTCAATCTGGATAGAATGTTCAAGTACTAAAATGATTTTTTCCGATTTGAGTCGAAAGCAAATATAAACAATTAGTATAATTTTCGGTTTTATATTTAGATTAAGTGCATTTTGTTTCAGAACTATAAAAAATCTAATTTTTGGAAAACTACATATTTAAACAAAAACAATTTAACAATTTAAACAAAAACTATTTAAACAGAAATTGTAAATTAAAACTGAATAAAAGATTGGTAATTATTGGATATTTTAACACAAATTTTAAGGGGATTAAAACTTTTTTCATGAAAAAAAGAAAACAAATATTTTCTTTAAAAATCGAGTATTTTTGGGTAAAAAGTGTTATTGTGAAAAAAAATATTATTTATATCTTCCATTACCCTAAATCTAAAAGTAATTTTACAAAATAAACCCCTGGACATAATTCTTAAAATTTCTTGCACAAAAATAAAGCAAACGCCATCGGTATAAAAAAATGTATTTCCTTTTAAATAATATAATTTTATTACTTTAATGTCTAATACACTAAATAAAAAAATCTGATGTGTCCAACACATGACTTTCCTATCTAGTTATTATAGGCTTTTTCCAGTTATTTTGTACAACCTATTGCAGCACCTCTATAAATGTTTAGAGGATAAACTAAATATATATATTGCCCACATACATCTACCTCGAAACATTTTTCTATAGATATTTATTGAAAACGAAAATATTGAAAAATTTAAATTTCCTACAATTTTTTCATTACGGTCCATTTTAGAAAAATCATGTATACAAACAAAAATTATAGAGATCGATATCGCAAACAACTTTTAGTTCAACAATTTTCATAAAAATCAGAATTTTGCACAATTTGTCAAATTTCTCGAATACGGACCATTTCAGGAAATTTTGACATAATCCAGAAATTATAGATAATAATATCAGAAGTAACTTTTATTTGAACAATTTTTTTCTCCAAACATAAATAACAGATATATTCTATAAAATATAAAAACGGCCTCCCATGAAGTACCCCCCCCCCCAGATGTTCCGACTTTGTTTAAAATCTAATCATTTCATGTCAGGCTGAAATAAAAGTTAAGTTTAAAATTTAATGTTTTTTTCTTCATCCGTTTTTGAGTTTTCTTCAAATTTCAAAATTTACAAGTTTCTCAAATTTCTCGAATACGGCCCATTTTAGAGAAATTATGTATAGGACAAGAAGTATAGAGAATTATATTACAAACAATTTTTATAAAAAAATATTTTTTTACATTTTATCAAATTTCTCGAATACGGACCATTTTAGGAAAATTTTGTATAGAACAAAAATTATAGATAATAATATAAGAAGTAACTTTTATTTGAAGAATTTTCTTCTCCAAACGTAAATAACATATATTCTAAAAAATATAAAAATGACCACCTATAAAGTACCCCCCCCCCCAGATGTTCAGACTCTGCTCAAAATCTAAACAGTTCAATGGACGCTGGAACAAAGCTTAAGTTTAAAATTTGGTGTTTTTCTGTGTATCGGTTCATGAGTTATGCGACACACAGACACACACACACACACACACACACACACACACACACACACACAGACATCATCGCGAAAATAGTCAAAACGGATTCAGGGGACCTCAAAACGTAAAAATCCGTCGAAAACTCGAGGTCGAAAAAAATCATGATTCCTATACTTTCCTTATATCTGTATACAGATAGGAAAGTAAAAAATACATTTTAAATAACCTGCATACAATTAAAATATTTTTTATTGTATCCTCAAAACTACAAAAAACTACTAGACAAATTCATTCATTTATAGTTTAGCCCTTTTTTATTGTAATCATTCAAATTGTGTTTATTATTACGTAGACAGAGCTGTCGTATCGGCTGCCGCATTTGAAAGAGACAGCTGCTAATTTGAGTGGGGATGGTTTGTGCGAGTATATTCATCTGAGGAGTGAGCACGCGTTTTATGAATCAATCAGTGTTTACGTTAACATCGCTTGAATCACTCTTCAAAATTAATTGCATACTTTCTTGGTAAACACTATACAACTATAATAATTACAACGAGATAAAATATATTAAATTATCAATAACTGGTATTAAAAATGTAAATTTACTTCCCTAATGTAATTTTTAAAGCCTTTTGTGCACTTTGGAGCCTTATATTTAGTCAATACCAAATTATAACCCTAAACAATCCTTAGCAATACTCTCCCATACGCGCTCATAATAATTTGATAACTACGTGAATGACACCCTGAATGTTTGCATTTCGTTTTTTGTAAACAAAATTGGTCTAGAAGTTTTTTGTCGTTGTTTCCACTATTATGTTTGACATTTTAAATTTATTTAGATTATTCTTAAATATGACTTATAACAATTCATTAAAAAAAAAAAATAAGAATTTCCAAAATAAGACCATAAGCATTTAAGGTAAAAGCTTTGCTAAACGATTGTTATTAAGAGTAATTATAATACCAATAAAAATTCAGAAAGTCTTTTTTTTTTCATTTGTTTCTTCAGCTTCGACAGGCCATTGGCCTCGTGTTCTATTGGAGTACTAGTAGTCTAATACTCCATAGTGCAGAAGTGCTAATATTCTAATACTCTTGCGCCCCTACAGACAGGCCTTGTTACTGTTTCCCAGCGCCACTTTAGGAACAGCATTGTTAATAAGAACCCAACAGTGAATGGTCGGAGTGGGCAATTCTGCCTAGGCTTCAAAATTGTTTTTAAACAAATAAATAAAAAATCCCGGCTAACGGTGGGATTCGAATAGAGAACCCTTCGATTCGCAAGTCCTGACTCTAACCACTGATCCGCCCATTGAGTAAAATTAAAAATTGCACGATGTAGTATTAAAACTTATCAATGTTAGATTTTAGGCAACGGGCAAGTCAAAAAATCTGCTTTTTTTTCATCTAAATATATTCATGTATGTAGAGCTGGGCAGTATCCGAGGCCAAGTACTCGAATATTGTACTTAGTACTGCATTTTGAGCACTCGGTACTCGAGTATCTTTTCATTAAAATACTCATACCCTTAGCATATCGGGTAAAAATATCTGGTACCCCTATTTATATTACGTGTACTTTCTTTAGAATACTTTTTGCAAGTCTGAACTTGTATGTACCTATGCGAGTGCACCGACGCTATTGGAGAAAATATTTTTTACTGGTATATTACGTTACGTTACGTTACTTTCAACGCCTAAGTGAACCTTAATTAAGACAATTATAAAAAGATATTACAGCAAATTTTAAAATGTAAAAGTCTAGTGACTCTTAGTAAAATTCGCAAAACAATAAACGATTGAATTTTTTGCGTATATGCGTGGAATACATTTAACTAAGAATTAGATAAGAGTCAAATATAGTGTGATTACATCTCCTACCAAAATTGTTTACATCTTATATCAAAATTGTTTACACACCTTTTCAAGGTTGTATTACACATTGCAATTATGCGTTTCATAATATAGTGTTATTTTTGAAACAAGAGCAGTGGTCTAAAATCTATTTTATCTATTTTATCTATTTTATCTATTTTTGAAATCGATTAGATTTCTTAATATTTTTTTACTATATGGAATCTCAAAAAATGTTTTCAAATTACCTAATACAAGCTGATGTGCAGAAGTACAAATTATCATATTTTCTTTTATAAATATTCTATTGATTTTGAAACACATTTGGGCTAGAACGATTCTGTTCAGTGAGCCCGTTGAAAGATAAGCTCGAAGGTTGAAAGGCAATATGGCGGCGCTTTCCCTTCCTATTCATTTATAGGTGAGCAATCTATATAATTATATAATATTGGCCGTAGACGTACTGACCCAGTTGTTCATTTGCTGCGTTTGAGAATCCACATCGGATGCATCTGAGATGTAAAAAATCTTTGATCACGTGATTCAGTATACGTAAATGTAATGGGACAGATGTGTCCGATGTGGATAAAAAAACGTTCGAGATGTAAAAAATGCATCCGATGTGGATTCTCAAACGCAGCATTTATACTGGGGTACTGACAACATTCTGCGCCCTCTTTTGCATAAAACTGTAGTTTAGATAATTTCTTCCATAGTTTTCTTTCCTTGTCCCTTCTCTTTCGTCTTTTTTTGTTTTGACATTTGACTTTTAGGTGACATGTTTTCGAATTTTAACTAGAAAGTTAGAAATAAATACCTATTTTTTATTATTTTCTGTTTTTCAGTTTATTTTGTGTAAAATATAATAATTTAGCAAAAAAAATGAGTGCTTCGGCATCAACTGCGACAATTTCTCAACAAGATGATCAAGATGTTGAGGATTTTGGACCTCAACCCATAACAAAACTTGAAGTAAATTAATAAATATTACCAAATTATTAGACAAATTTAAACAATATCTATTTTAGGGCAATGGAATAACATCTGGAGACCTAAAAAAGCTCATTGACGCTGGCTACCACACAATCGAGTCCATAGCTTTCGCCCCCAAAAAACATCTGCTCACTATTAAGGGAATTTCGGAGGCTAAAGCCGATAAAATTTTAACGGAAGCCTCGAAATTAGTGCCTATGGGATTTACTACAGCCACTGAGTTTCATCAGAAGCGATCCGAGATTATTCAACTCACAACTGGTTCAAAAGAATTGGATAAATTGCTTGGTGGAGGCATCGAAACTGGTTCTATTACTGAAATTTTTGGAGAATTTCGTACTGGTAAGACACAGTTGTGTCATACTTTAGCTGTTACAAGTCAGGTAATACATGTTTGTGTATTATGTAATCCGGTCTAGCTGGGTTTTCTTTGTAAATAAATATTTTTTGTATGTTCACGTCCCTCTAACTTAACTAATCAAAGCAAGAAAAACTATGTCGCTGATGAACTTATAAAGTTCCTTATTTCTTTCTTTCCCATTATCTTTTCTCTAACATTACCTTTTTACCCCCTCTTATTAATTCCTACCTCAATTAACTTATCTGTGTATTCTAGTCTCAATTTTCCAGATCCCACTTCCAACCTTCTCTATACCCTTGCTCTTTTATTCTAAATATAAAATACATATTTGTCTATTCATTTTATGTTTTACAGACTACCATTAACAACTCATTGTGGTAGCATGTATTTTACTTTGTAGCTCAAAACCTATCCTAAATAAAACTTCCACACTTTTTGGTTTCTTCTCTTGTGTTCTTTTATATTAGCTCACAAAACCAATCCCTGGCAGTCTATTAATTTTTTCCCTTATACAGATTGTTTCTTTGGTCATTATCTAGTTTGAGCTCTTTTTACTAATAAAAAAAACTAAGCAGACATACTTGTAGGTACCACTATTGTAAACAAAAAATCTTAGTTCCATATCTTGTGCAAATTAATAGTAACACAATTTTTTTAAATAAAAATATTTCATAAATTGTATCAAATTAAAGCTCGGAGATGCTACTTTTACGTCTTACACTGTTGTCAATTTGCACAAAAAGTTTACTATCCAATTATTTATTATCAAAAATAATGTTCCTTGTCCCAACAATATTTTATATCATAACTATTGAAGTTGTTTTACCCACCCAGAACCCCTATTCACTTCTTTTCCCATAAAACTAATAATATTAATTTCATTTCAAAAATTATTTGTGTCATTATTAGATTTATTGTTTACAGTAGCAATACTTACAAGTATGAAGTATGTATGCTTAGTTTTTCCATAATCGAAGAGATCTCAGACTAGCATTTACCCTTTCTTTTTGTTAGGGATGCAAGGAAATGGTTATATTAGCTAATCACACTTTATGCACTCACTTTTCTCCTACTTTTTACCTAAGTTGAGGTAGAATTTTAGAAGTCTTTTAGGGCGAAGACTCAGTTTGATGACATTAATATTGTTTTCATTTAAGATGTCTGCCTTAAAAATGATTTACATTTTTACTTTCCTATCTGTATACAGATATAAGGAAAGTATAGGAATCATGATTTTTTTCGACCTCGAGTTTTCGACGGATTTTTACGTTTTGAGGTCCCCTGAATCCGTTTTGACTATTTTCGCGATGATGTCTGTGTGTGTGTCTGTATGTCGCATAACTCATGAATATATCCGTTATTTACGTTTGGAGAAGAAAATTCTTCAAATAAAAGTTACTTCTAATATAATTATCTATAATTTTTGTTCCATACAAAATTTTCCTAAAATGGTCCGTATTCGAGAAATTTGACAAAATGTAAAAAAATATTTTTTTATTAAAATTGTTCAAATAAAAGTTGTTTGTATTATAATTCTCTATAATTTTTATTTTATACATAATTTCTCTAAAATGGACCGTATTCGAGATATTTGAGAAAATGTGTAAATTTCGAATTTTGAAGAAAACTCAAAAACGGATAAGGAAAAAAACATTAAATTTTAAACTTAAGGTTAATTTCGGCCTGACGTGAAATGATTAGATTTTGGACAAAGTCGGAACATCTAGGGGGGGGTACTTTATGGGAGGCCGTTTTTATATTTTGTGGAATATATCTGTTATTTATGTTTGGAGAAGAAAATTGTTTAAATAAAAGTTACTTCTAATATTATTATCTATAATTTTTGTTTTATGTCAAAATTTCCTGAAATGGTCCGTATTCGAGAAATTTGACAAAATGTGCAAAATTCTGATTTTTATGAAAATTGTTAAACTAAAAATTGTTTGCGATATCGATCTCTATAATTTTTGTTCATACATAATTTTCCTAAAATGGACCGTAATGGAAGAGTGCTAAATTTAAATTTTTCACTATTTTCGTTTTCAATGAATATCTATAGAAAAATGTTTCGAGGTAGATGTATGTGGACAATGTATATATTTAGTTTATCCTCTAAACATTTATAGAGATGCTGCAATAGGTTGTACAAAATAACCGGAAAAAGCCTATAATAACTAGATAGGAAAGTCATGTGTTGGACACATCAGATTTTTACTGTTAGATTATTTAAATGTGTTGTTACAAAATTGTTGTTGGCCTTTTAGTTGCCAATAGATGCTGGTGGTGGTGAAGGGAAATGTTTATACATAGACACGGAAGGCACATTTAGACCTGAAAGGTTACTGGCTGTAGCAGAACGGTATAAAATGACTGGACAAGATGTTTTAGATAACGTTGCATATGCTAGAGCCTACAATACCGACCATCAGACCAGCTTGCTCCTACAAGCATCAGCTATGATGTCAGAATCGAGGTATGGCCATAAAATTTGATGTTAAAACGTATGTGTTATTGTTTTTACATTTTCTAGGTACGCTTTATTGGTTGTTGATAGCGCTATGGCACTTTACAGGACTGATTATTCGGGTAGAGGTGAATTATCCGCTAGGCAGATGCATTTGGCTAGATTTTTGAGGATGTTGCTACGTTTAGCTGATGAGGTAAGTAAAATAATAATAATATATTTCTAACAGGAATACTGCTGACAATATTGTTGGCAAATACAATCAATTTATAAGTAAATATATTCCAAGTAATCGCTATTAATGTTGATATCGTTTTTATTTGAAATAGATATTGGTTAATACTCAGAAGAACAAAAGAAATAGATAGGTAATGAATGACCTGTAACATAGGTTTTGTATGAAGCCAAGATAAACAAATTGTTTTGAAAGTATCATTCTCCAGTGGCGTATCAAATAGTTTTTTCATCAGAATCTAAATATTTTATAAAGAAACACAATTCAAACAAAATGTTATTTTATAAAAAAGAAATCCCTATTTTTTGTCCGAAATTTTTTAATCGAATTAGCTCTAAAATGCTTCCATATTCTTTGGATAAAGAAAAGAAAATATTTTCTTCATGCCAATGTTATTTCGACTATTTAAAGTCGAAATTTCATGTTTAAAGTCGATATTTTCAGTTAAAAGTAGAAATTTCGGAATTTATCAACTTCAAAAATCATGCAAATGGTAATAATAAATAACTGATGGATTCGCTCTAAAAAGCTTCCATATACCTACTTTGGATTATCTACTTTGGAAAAAGTAAATATTCTTTTAGTGCCAAGGTTAATTTCGACTTCAAAGTAGAAATTTTGAGTGGAAAGACGGAATTCCGAGTTTAAAGTCGGAATTTCGATATTTTGAGTTTGAAGTAGAAATTTTGGAATTTATCAAATTCACAAATCATGCCATTCAGGGATTAGCAAGAATGAATATCTGATGGATTCGCTCTGTAAAGCTTCCATTTACTTTAGAAAAAGTAGACACTATCCTTCTCGTGCTAAGGTTCATTTCGACTTTAAAGTCGAAATTCCGAGTTTAAAGTCAATATCTTGAGTTTAAAGTCGAAATTTATATATTAAAAATGACATTTAAAAAATATTTAGTATACAACTCTTCTACACATACAGTGTCTTGACGGTTACACATCTATTGCTTTTGTTTTATCTAAGATAAAGGCACAAATACTCATATTAACCGATCAAATATAATATGTTTTAATTCTACACTTGACACTTCTTTTGAAGACTTTTATTTTGAATTGTAGTTTGGCGTGGCCGTTGTGATCACCAATCAAGTGGTGGCCCAAGTAGATGGAGCCGCTATGTTCAACGCAGATCCGAAAAAACCTATCGGCGGTAACATCATGGCGCACGCTTCTACCACCCGTCTGTATTTGCGAAAAGGCAGGGGCGAAACGAGAATGTGCAAAATTTACGATTCTCCTTGTTTACCGGAGTCCGAAGCCATGTTCGCTATTAATCCTGATGGTATAGGTGATGCTAAAGAGTAAAAGACTAGCTAGTTTTTTTTTATTATTCGATTTAGGTACAATACAGAAATTCGAAAGTTGGTTAAACGAAGATGAAGGTTTAACTGGGATGTTTCTGTTCCAATTGTATGAGCATTTATAATATATTGTTAATAAAATAAATGATTTTGAATAGTGCCTTAAGATATCGAGTTATTAGGTTAAGATTAAATGATTTGTGATTACGAAAATACATTTCTATTGGTTTTTAAGGATTGCGTTTTATTTTTCCAGAACAAACATTTTTGTCATTTATTTTGATATTACGCTTATATTTTTTCTTGCTGGTCTTAAAAAAATAGTCTAAAGGTATGTTATCAAATTAACTTGATTCAAAAACACCCAGTATCCAAAAAAATTAAAATTTTGTCCGAAACTCTTAATAGGGGTGGTTTGGTCTCTAAAAATTTACAAAACAAAATTAAACAGCAAATTAAAGTTAAAAAAAAAAACAGTTTCTTCCCTCTTCTTGTCTGTTCACTCCCGCACTCCTCTATGGAATCTAACTGGTACTGGTACCTATCTTTCTGTTCTATCTGCTTTGTCTGATCTGTCTTTTAATCTTAACAATACATTTTTCAGTTTTTCTTTTTTATATATTCTTTATTTATTTCTCCAATTCATTAACAATAAACATTTAATATTCCAACTTGTCCTTTAGATAAATAAATAATCGACGATACAAAATCTCTTCTGACAATTTCAATAAATAACATTGATCCAAAAAATAAGACTTCTTCATTCTTTTATTGGGCTATGAAAATCCGACTTATTCTTACAATTTCAGATTCAAATGTGTTTTCTTATTTATCTACTATTCCTTGTATACCCCTCTAATGACGTCCCCATCTGGATACTTTAACATATATTACTATTGGTAGCATTCACATTGACAATTTCATATATGTACCTTCAAAAGGTAACCTTAGTGTTACATATTTCTTATTTTTTTTATTGGATACTCTAACAATTTCGAAAACAAATATCAATCCAAAGAAATACGACATCCTGATTTTAAATTAAATTTAGATTTTTAGCTTCACAACTTCACTTCACAACCTCAAGATAGTTTATAAATTTTGATGACGTCAAAGTTTTCCATATTAATATTTTTATTTAAACTTCATTTTTCGAACTGAAAACATCATCAAATGAACTGCTGCAAAACACTTTTGAGGCCCAGGCCGAAAAGTTGAGTGGCTTCGATTTCTAAATAGTTTTTTTTTATATTTAGTTTACTTATTTTAATTTCCAAGAGTTCGCAAACAAACTTAAAAATATACATATTCTCGATTGAAGTTACATAACAAGCAAGAATGTACTTATCTATTTTTTTAAATGACTCTGACAATCTTGGTAGTGAACTCGGTAGGTCAAATGACTTTCTTCAAGGGAGCGGAAGATAGGTTTGTTTATCTTATACAGCGGTATAACCATTTATTTAACGTCCAAGAAAATATGTTTATAACATTCAAAATCAAGACATTTTAAAGCTAAAGAGTTAGAAATAGTTTTTGAACTATAGAACCAAACTTGGTAGATTTTCACACACTTTTATTTAAAAAATAAAAATTACACATTACAACTGTTTCGAAGTACAACGACGAAACAGTTATGTGTAATTTTTAGCTTTTAAAAAAAGTATTTGTGAAAATCTACCAAGTTTGGTTTTTCTCATTTTTCAAATAACGGCCGAAACAATCATGAAATCAATAATATGGTTCCAAAGCTTCTCTATTTACATTTAAAACCCGGTCATACATTGCAAAGAAACGTAGCGCGTAGCTATTTCGTAAATGAACCGACATGCGTTTCCTGGTGCGCTGTTGTCAGGCTGTGTAGTTTATCCCTTTCATATTTAAAAATAGTTTTTACTATAACTCACTAAGAGCCGATTCCACCGTTGTGTTAAACGGAGATTAAAGTGACATTGTTAATGTAAAAATGTCATTTTAAACTTCGTTTAACACAACGGTGGAATCGGTCCTAATAGCAACAAGTTTTTTTAATTAGAATAGTTTCGAGATATATTGCGACACATCAAGCGTCCCTACCAATTCATTTTCGTACCTAGTGCAGTGTTTCCAACTCCAACGCATTGTGGGCCGAGATGTTGCAATATTTCCAGAAACATTTCTAATCGTAAATCTCTAAATAAAATGACTTGTAACAAAACAAAAAACGCATAAAATGTGGACAAAGTAGATTAATCTAGTTTAACTGCTTTTAGCAGCACCTATTTTTACACCATTAGGCATTTTTGTACCTATCGTTTTTACATACGCTTGCTAAATAACAACTTTGCAAATACTAAGATAAACTGTGGCAAACACCATTATTATTCCTGTAAATAAATGCAAGGATTTTAAAAGCATTAAACGTGACACCTCCGCAATTTAAAATAACTTTGTTTCATTCATACTATACGTCACGTATAGTATTTTTTATCCATCGATAGTTTGCGATGTTGCGATCCAGTAAATTGTTGCATTTTGGGTGTTTTTGTTAATCTTTACTTTTTTGGAAAAATTTCTGCTTGTGTATAGCTAACAACATGGTTCGCGAGTGCATTTTGAGCAAAAAACTGGAAAATGTGGGTGCTGAAGTATCTTTTCATAAGTAAGTAATGTTAGGTGATGATGTATTGCATAGGTCAGTGGTGTAGATTTAAAGATTTTTGCCGTAATATCACATGTATTATCTCTTTTTATATTACTATTTTCTTTGATCTTTCAACATTATTAATTTAGCAAAAAATTGTAATTAATTAATTAGTCTGGATTCTGGACTATAGTGGTAAAATAAATATGTTTATGCTTGATTTTTAGATTCCCAACTGAAAGGCATACAAGAAATATTTGACTTGAAGAAAATGAAGGTATCTAAAAAAGAGTGTTATGCTCGGAGCATTTTGATCCTAATGATATTCTTCAAAAAGCAAATATCTCAAACCTGGAGCACTGCCAAAACTAAGTTCATTGTTTCGAGAAAGCTCATTTAGGCAACTAAAAACTTTCTTAATTATGTTTCAGAAATGTTCATTTAAGTGTGTATCCTTTAAGATGAAAGTTGGTAGTTTATCTTACAAAGGAATTTTTATATTGTAAGTTCTTTAAATTATGTAGGTGCTTAACAAGGACAAACTTTTTTATAAACTCATATTACATGCCTCTTTCTTTGATTATTTTTATGTACTACCTTATTATTAATCAAAATGTATACTTACCTTTACATTAAAAGTTCTGAATACTCTGTTACAGCTCTGATTCCAGTATCAGTATTTTTGACAGCTCTAGTAAGAAACCAGAATATAATTTATCTATGCCGCACACATTTATGGATGATAATAAGTAAGTTAGTTTACTGCCTAGTTTTAAAAGTTAAAAACTATCAATGGATAGGTTTATTGTTGTACAGTTCTACGTGTTTTCGGATTTTACAAAATTCTTATAACCAGATCCGCTATAAGAAGCGTTCCATTTAAAATCACCACCTTGTATATAAGTATGGTAAATTTATTGATTTAATAACTTTTATAAATTTAGTAGTGTTAAAAATCTAAATTTTGATTTAAAAATCTCTCATTTACCAATTTGTAAAACTGTTCAAATTTTAACCCCAAAATTGAATTCGTAAATTTGTTTAAAATAAATCTTGATTTATTTATCTTGTTTTTATTTTATTTAACATCTTTATATGTAATAAATGTATTATTCTTGGAAAAAAATAGTGTTTTTAAGTTTTTTACCTACATTCCACTAAACTTCATACCCTTATACCAAATCCAATCGGTTTTAAAGTTTACACCATTATAAAGTTTATTGCACACCATATCGGTTAGTATTTCATTATTTTTTTATAATTAGTTATGATTTTATCTTTAATAAGATACGCCACTGGTATTAACAGACTTTTAGTTGCGTACAACAGCAGCGTTGCCAGACGAGATTTTCGAAAAAGTCTGTCTTCTTTCGATCCGCATAAAATATCTTCTTTCTCTTTTCCGATGATTGGGACCAAACAAAACATACTTTATGAATGAAATGCATCATGTTGTTTCTTTTATCTAAGTATAGTTCTATTTTGTCAAGGTAAATACACAGCAAGTACTTGCAACCTACCAGATTTTAACATCTTTTTCTGAAAATCAAATTTAGCAGAAGAAACAGTAATGCTCAAATTCCACACATTACCCTTAATGGTTCGCAATTAAAAGTAGCCGATCACCACAAATTTTTAGGAGTCATTTTTGACTTAGTATTTTGAAGAGACTTATTAATACTGGGGTGCCTACTAAGAAGTTTTGCATAGAATATACAGAGCTCTAATACGAGCTAAGCTATACTATGGCAGTCCAGTTTTCATCGCTGCATCCAAGTCCAACTTACAAGCTCTAAGTACAGTCCAAAATGCTCTAGAAAGTCTCCACTGCGAATCTCGCGAGCTTCCACTTCACTTACATCGACATCAACTACTGCTTTTAAAATCCTGTTTACAAGCTAATACTTCCAATAGATCTAACAATCTCTAACCCTTCCAGAACAACACATGGGTCATTTCCACACACATTAAAGTCATTACTAGAAAAGTATGGTTGAAATTCAAATTCACTTGTTAACACTAAAACTTTTATTGCTGAAGTTGACATAAATATGATTTTGTACATTTCATGGACACAATAACACTATAGTAAATAATATTGAAACAGCCGCTTTAATTATAATATTTTTGTGTTGCAAATAAAAAGCTTACAAAATGGCTTGGGTTTTTCAAGCCGCGCAAGAAGGTGTTGTTACGGTGATTTGAGAATTACTTCTGCTTTGAACGCGAAGAATCAAGATGGCTTGGTAGCGTGGGTTTCTAACAGTTTGATCAATCGTTTTTTCATTAAGGTAATTCTGGTATCACTTGAGATTTTTAAGGTTAACTGCATTGCGGCGAGAAAGGGTGAAGTAACCATCTTGTCCGTTTTATAAAAAAGAAAAAGCGAGAGACAGCTCGAAGAAAAACATATGTCTTCAGCAACAAGCCTTCTCTGAATTAATCAATACAAATCAGTTTGGCATGATCCTTTTCACAGATGCCTCAATGAGTGAAAGTTCAGTACTCACTCATACAACTATAATAAAATGCAGACTGTCTAATACTTGCAGCGTACATACTATATGCTATTTTAAAAGCACTTCAAGCTCCAATGCAAGAGGATCAAAATATTTTATTAACCAATCAGCCCTCAAGCGTGGAATCTGAGGACACACTAATATTTTTGCGGTATTTTTTTTGAAATGTATAAACCTAAAACTTATTTGTTGATGTTTACAACAACTTCTGTAAAGTTCATTCAGGAGGTTTTTTGTGTGTTAATTTTCGTGTTTTATTGAAAAATCCTGAAACCCGTAATTTTTTTTAATAGAAATGTGAATGTTGTAATATACCATTTGAAAGATCCTTAACTGATGACACAAAGTAGTACTAAACAAGTATGTAACTGTACTGTAATGGAAAAGAATCTTGTTTGTGTAAATAATAAATTAAAAAAATATCACCCTGTACATCAAATTTAATTTGAGTTTAAAAAATGTCAAAAGAAATATTCAATTAAGGAAGCGTTCCATGCTATTAGGCCTTTTCTTCAAGAAATTCATTTTTTAGATACCTTTTCCTGCTTTCAACTGGAATAACTGGAAATGAGGAAGTAGATGTGAACTGGCTAAAAAATGCCGACTGCAAGTATTGAATATTAATACCAGGGTGCATCATAGTGAACTCTTGCCTTTTTTTAAATCCAATACATGGAAAAAATAGGAGGAGGAATATAAAGTGATATGCCAAGTTAAAGGGAGATTATATGGAGATGTGATTCAAATTCTATTAAAGAGACCGTGGTTTGGAAAAATAAAAAATTTGAATAGTTCGGATATAAGTACCGTTTGCAGATTAAGAAGCGGTCTTAGAGTTGATATTCCAAAAAATTTTATAGTTCCTGTTACACTTTTTGATATATTGTTTAAACTTGTCTTTCGGTAATGTTAAAAAAATATCAAAATTTATACAAATGTCTAAAATTAAGCTGTAAAATATTGTAATTATTTACCTGCCAATAAATTATAAAAAAAGAAATATCCGGGGAGACGAAAAAAAAAAAACAGATAGGTATATGAAGGTTGGTTAAAAATCTCCGACGGGAACCAATTTTCTGTTTTGGGAGGGTTTTACGTAATCTAAATTTAGAAGTCTCGGTAATTTTATAAAGAGTCGTAACATATTTAATAACTAATAAGTCAAATAGTTGTATCACTCAGTTGTACGGTACAGTAAACGGTTGAAATTGCATGGTGATCGGAATACAGTACAAGGTAGTCTGGTGCAGCCTGATTGCCTGAATGGAAACTACAATGCATAAGAAATTTGGATTCCGTTAGAAAGACATTTTCTTGTGAGTAGATAACATTTTCTTATTGGTGTGAAAGAAAAGGACAATTTGCTATCTGCTTAAATATTTACCAGTCTGTTTCTACTCTTAGAGATACCTAACACCAGACAATTGGGTATAATAGTAGAGATTATTAAAATAATTATAGTTGCTACATTTATTGGAAAATAGAAAGATCAAAATTTGACTAAATATCACTTTGAAAGATATTAAGTGAGATTTTGAAATATAGAGGGTGGCTCACGCTCAACGGGACGGAGCTTTATGGGAAAACGACCAAAGATATAAACAATTCGTTTGGGAGGAATACGTAGGTTACAGACGGCTACAATTTAAAATTTGTTAGATGTATACAGGATGTCCCACAAAAGAGAAAATATACAAAGTTATATTATTTTTAATGCACCCTGTTTTTTATTTTAGAATTAAAAACTACATCAAAAATAATGTCAGTTAACTAAAGGTTCCCTATTACTATTATTATTAGTTTTCGATTTATTTGAATTTTTAAGGAAAAAAAGTCTCCCAGAAATTAATTGTTTACTCTTGTTTGAATAATTTTTAATTAATTATTTTTTTTTTCTTATGTGGGACATCCTGTATACATCTAACAAATTTTAAATTGTAGCCGTCTGTAACCTACGTATTCCTCCCAAACGAATTTTTTATATCTTTGGCCGTTTTCCCATAAAGCTCCGTCCCGTTGAGCGTGAGCCACCCTGTATATAAAGTTTTAATTTAATAAATTGTCTGTTAAATAGATCATAATAATAAGTGTGAATGGTGATGAATGGATGCTTAATTTAATTAAGTTAGGAGATAAGAAATTTATTTAATGTTCAGAAATTTAAACTGTTAGAATTTATTGGTAATAAATTAGAAACTTTTGTATGTACAATTTGTCTATTTAATAAAAAACAATATTTTACAGGGTGATACAACTAACAATAGTAACAAATATTAACATGATATTGGCTGTTTATTATATAAACTACATCCTTAAGTATAGGTAATTTTCATTATAGAACAAGAGGACCAATCAATTTAATTAGATATAAATAAGTCGAGGTATTTTATTGTTGGAATTGTTGTCGTTACTAGTTAATAAATAAACTAAATAAATTAAGTTTATAAAGTATTATATTTCTTGAACCGACACCACTGGGAGAATCTGCTCTAAAAAAAGGTGCTAAAATATATTAAAAAAGCTAGCCAAGGCAAGTTAAGTTTGTGTATTTTTTTTTTACTTGTGAGGTTATGGAGTGATTGGAAATCATAACAGTACTTACCTTTTAAGAACTCCAATCACTTCCATCCCACTCCAAGAATAAAAACAAAGGTTTAAAAAAATAAAAACCACTTTCTTTTAATATTTTTAGTGTAATAAAATGTGAAAATATAAAATATCAGTATCCTTACACATTTAACAGTAAACAATAACCTAAGGCAAAAAAATATAACTTTAACAATCACCTAATAAGGATAATCACGGACTACACCACATTAACATTAAATTAAATCTAAAAACATTATTCATTAAAACGTATATAAATAATAACATTTTGGTTGAAACATCTTACAATTTCGCAGCGTTGGTTTTAAGAAGAGGTGCCAATTTTTGAGCCAACATTATGTTGCCAGTGACCTTCAATTTTCCTTTCATGAACGCTTGTTGGGGGTTCAATTTGCCTTCGGCCAAAAGCAAGAAATCCTCGTCTGATACTGTTAAGGTAGTGTTTGGTTTACCGTCTGGTTTGCCTTCAAAGACTTTGGCGTTTTTCAAGTCCATCGCTAAACAAAAAAAAAATCAATTTATAACATATAGTGAAAAGGCCGATGAACTTGAAAAAAGAGTTTCAGAGAAATACCGGAACCAGATATAAACTTTGGAATACCAAAAAGTATAGTTCGAGTGTTCATAAAAGACTTGATTGGGAGAAAACACAACAACTATTGGGAGTAAAATAAGAAAACGTATAGTGACCATAATAATAATTGTTACTTACTCCACTGTTTAGCCTGTTTGCCATCTTTAGTGATGTTGTAAAGGAAAACGCCACCGATTGCTTTGGCTTTGCCAGGATCCTGCTTGACTTGGTCGACGATGAATTCAAAGATGGCGTCGCTCTTTAGGTTCGACATGTTTGATTTAGGCGATGACGGTAAGGCCGCTTTAACTGATTTAAGATCTACGTAGGCACCTGAAAGATTTACAAAAAATATATCATCTCGCCGTATCAGCATCATAAACATAAACTATTGAGTGATTAACAGAAGGAAAATGGTGTCTCAGTTTGCATGGAGTTAAAGAATCGACTTCATTCAAATCCAGACTTCATGTTCAAAATTTTAACTGGAGTTGAAAGTTGGGTCTATTCAGAGTTCCCAATAGAAAATAAGTTAATATCCTCGCCCTAAAAAGGCACGTCAGCCAAAATGAAATAAAGTTATGACCATTTTTTTTTTCAATAGTGAGGGCAGGGCATACTGCGATATTAGTTCGTTCCAAAGGGAACAACTGTAAACGCAGAATTTTATTCTTCATCACGACAAAGCGCCTGCGACATCTGACTCTTCCCAACAATTAAAACCATCCTGACATTGAGACATTGACAGAGCAGTTGAATGCCATTTCAAAAGAAGCTCTCCAAAAATGCTTTCAGTCATGGATTCAATGTTGATATAAGTGCATTGCTAGCCAAGGACAGTAGTTTGGAGGAGATTAAATCAAATTCCATGTAAACTTATTACCTCAAATAAAAATATAAAATTTTAGATTTGTTTGGTGGAATTCCTAAATGTATGTACATTAAATAGATACTTCTTATGTATAACACAATCTAATCATCAGTGTCTGTGTCATAAACATTGTCTGTTTCAGTTGTTCCTCTTCTTCAACTACTGGTGTCGTTGCTTTAGTTGTTGTATTATGGGGTAGACTAATATAGAATTGATGGTAGAAAATGGACAAATTCCAAAAGATTTTCATATTTACAGTTTAAGTTTTAATATAGCTGGCTGAAGAACTGGAAGCTGTATAGGAAGCCGCCCTAATTTGTATACCAACATTGAGAATTATTCGAATTACTCAATACTTCCTAATGTTGTCTTGTAAAAGGGTTGTTGGACATGACTTAGTGAAATGAAGAATTCCTTGGATTGCTTTTTCAGTTTAAAAGTGATATTTTTGTCTATTTACGTTTTATAGCATAACTTTATTTCTTTTATGCATAAGTTTTGTATTAAAATGAACATTATACATGAATAAATATGAACTAGTATTTAGAATATTTTAGACAACCAGTAGATGATATAATAATTGAAAACAAATTAATAACATTCAAAATCTACCTTCCATAAAATAATTTGTAAAATTATGAATTGCAAGCAAATTTAAAAAACAAGTTAAACATTTTTCGAGTTAGAAACAAAATGTCAATAATCTCATTAATAATGATTGCATTATTCATCTTTGTAGATGTTTATTAAATATTTTTTATCATCAATGATAACTTATTTTTATCTGTTGTAAATAATTGTTACAATGTTTTGTTCTGCAAAAAACCGGATGATCAGTGTTTTTCTGATTATTAATAACTAGAAAAAAATATAAAGAAATCCTGCAGAATTAATTTATTTCTTAATTTAAATAAGTAGGTACATACTTGGTTTAAATTTAATTTTTGGAATATTTATCAATATTTAAATTCAATTCAATCAGAATCCAAAGATTTTAACTTTTAATCTCTGATATTTTATATCAAGACTGAGGTACTTGTGAATCTAATAATTACGCATTGTTAACAAAACTTTTTAATGGTTATCTTTTTCCTATCACTTTTTGCACTCAATTTGAAGGTACTTTGAACTTTATAATACATGTTGGTTTGTACAAGTTGTTTATTAAAATCTAGAAAACCATAGTTGGATTCATATTTTTTGATCTCTCTACATGGTATAAAATTTTTTAATATATAGAAGTTTGTACTGAATTTTAGGTCATGAAGTAACTTTTATCAAGAACAAAGAAATTAATAAAAAAGTTTTCTATAAAGTGCATACAGATTTTGACACCTTGAAAGTATCTGGCAGACGTAATGCCCATGAAAAGTATCGCAGGCAATTGTTGATTGGAAGGCTAGAATGTTATCCAGTTGAACATATTTAAAAAATCAGCTTTTATACTACGTTTTTACACATTCTTAGGTATTTTGAAAAATTGTTAACTGCATTTGTATTTTCAGAAAAAACATCAATAATATATGTCCTAAGAGTTTTATGCATATTTTTTTCTATTTCAAAAGTATAAATCGAAATATAGTGCAGGGTACAAACGTACCCCATGTCGCTTGTTATTTATAAGATTATTTTAGTAAATCAATGAAAAATATATTAAAAAGGTCTTAATTGACATTAAATTAAATCAAAGCAAAAATTGAAATTATATGAAAATTGTGACAAAGGTTAAAAAAAATCCCAAAGGGATCCAACTTTATGGCACACACTACATATCCAATATCCAACGAATTTAATTTACTTGAATGACAAAAATACGAATGAAATTATATTTTGATTTCTATCAAATATTTCCTACCTACTTTCACTTACCTACCAAATTATAACCTTTACTAATGAGCAAATAAGTAGATATCAAGACCTGAGTTGCGACGTAAAAAGATGATTTTACTTATAATGTGAAATATTATTGCGCAAAATTTTCCCGTTTGAAGGATATTAGACACGACGAAATTAAAAACAGCACAATCATAATTTTAATTTTTAATAATGATCTATCAAGGAAATGAGGTTATGTTAAAGGGCGTTTATCCCCACGTCAAAGATTTGACCTACAATTTGAGATTATCGATCTATTTTAAAGAATTAAACTCATTTTATCAATAAAACAACGAAATTATTAATTATTAGGTAAATTTCGTAAATGTCTTACCTTTATTTCTGTCAAACCCTAAGCCAATAACCGTTCCGTGCACTAGTTCTGAATAAACTGATGTGATTTCGAAATTAAAAGTGATAAAACTATATAAAAAAGATACTGTTTAATCGAGGATACTTCAAACTTTTCAATAACTTGAATAACTAACTACACTTTGACCCTGGTTATCGATAAAATTAATTTAAAAAGCGCGCAACGTCAGTAACAAGATTTCTAATTTAGCGACGATGCCGCATCGTTAGTTTTTCCGTTAGACCACGTGAAATTCGATTTGGGTTATGACTAAGTTTCCGAAGGACGTTTCTAAAAGTATTATTTTTTATTTCGTATTATTTTTTTCAATCTCGTCTGAACAAAAGCATTTTACCTTTTCTCAGAATTAAATAAGAAATTGAAATTTAGTGATTTAAAATTTTTATTATTAAAAAAATTATCAGCTATATTATTAAAAAAATTATCAGCTATATTCCCAGACAGCACACCAAATCCTTTGGATATCTACTGAACATCCCAATATCCACTGAATGTCCAGTCCATGGTGGATATCTATTTTATATCCATGAAATGTAATTTATAGACATGCAAATGTCCATAAATAATTGTAATTATATAGCAAATTATTAAAAAATTACGCCATTGTACTCGCCATTGTGGCTAATAGTACCGTTGAGATATTTAAAATTAATTTTTTTTAAGGTGTATTCAATATCCCATGGACATCCACTATAAATATAAATATATCAAAGTCTAAGCGCGGACGCAAACCATCGTGGATATCTACTAGATGTAATTTTTGATTTTGCTTCCTAAGTATAGATGGCGATACCACTTTCGTATCTACTCATGCTTAACCCGCCGTAATTGAGTTTGATCGACATTGTTTGACAAACAGACTTCATTAGAGACTGAAGTCGAGAAGTTCCATTTATTGCTGAAGATTCCTAATAAGGATGATTTTCTCCTTAGTAGGCAAAATCAAAGGCAGATTGTTGGGAATATTTTTTACCTCTATTTTCTTTCGACGTTATTCAATAACCATTGGTTACTTATGAACCTCTACTAAAAATAATTATAAAATATTTATCTGAATTTCTATATCCTGGGATATAGACGGACATTTGGTTGGATATCCACAAAATATATTCTATGGATATATCTGGGATTTCTTGTATTGTCTGGAGATACTCATTAGATATTTTGCTGAATATCCATAGGATATCTTCTATATTCTGGATATAGACGGACATTTGGATATCCATATTAGTTCCACGGAATATTTCTGATATCCTGTGGATATATTGGATATCCACAAAATATATTCTGTGGATATCTCTGGGATTTGGTGTGCTGTCTGGGGTTATTATTAAAAGTTTAAAATGATGCCTAAAAATACAAAATATTTTTGCTTTATCGTTTCTCAGAATTAAAGAAATTAAAATTCAATGATTGTAATATTTAAGCATTCGAAATCTATTTATTGAAAAAAAAAATAGTCTATTATATTTATTTTTAAAAAATCCAAAATGATGCATAAAAACGCAAAATATCTTGGTTTTTCCAGTTCATAGAATTAAATAAGAAATTAAAATTCAGTTATTGTAATATTTAAGTATTAAGTATTAAAGTATTAAAAAAATAATAGGCCAGCTATATTTATTTTTAAAAGTCCAATATGATGCTTGAAAATGCAAAATATCTTTGTTTTGACAGGAGGTGATAGGAAAAATTATATAAAGAAAATTAACGAAACAGTAATCTAAAAAACTCACCTGCAATTACAACTTGATTACTTTCAACGACAGATGTTTCAAAGAAAATTCTATTTCCCTCTCTCCACATGTCGACTTTCAAAGTTTCCCCGGGAATCACCGGTTTCACAAAACGCGCCTAAAAACAAAACAAAATCGTAATAATAAAATCAATTTAAGACCCATCTCAACTTTTTTTCTTAGGTTAGAAAATGATTTTTCATTCAAAGTAATACAATACGTCACTTTAAATTTCTATCTCTTAATGTCAACAAATACGTAACACGATGAGTTTAATAAAACGTATGTCTCGAATTAGCACGGTAGCAAATTGGCGCCACCTCATCGACAGTACATTTTTAAATCTTGACACAAGTTTCCTGAAATAATTAGGGCAAAAATAAAAGAATGTATTTAGCGCTTTAGCTTTTAAATACTATAAAAAATGGTGGAAAGTCCATAACTTTTAAATATTTGTTAAATATCATTTATTAAAATATTAGACATCAAAAGGAAAACAAACTATAGACTTTCCACCATTCTTTACCGTAGTCTGAACCCATTTTTAAAAACAATTTCTGAAAATATTATCGTTCAGAGCTGTTTCTGTGATAAAAAAGTCGCTGTCACTTGTCATTGACAACGCGTTGAACTTGGACTTAATATTATTTAATAAGACATTTGTACCTTCACGGCTTTGAATAAAGACGTATCATGTCCGGCGAACGCGGACAGTACGAGTCTCACAGAAAATCCCAAACTGCACAATCCATGCAAAATTGGCGTTTTGTGTCCCGCCATTAGAGCCATATTCGGGTCAATGTGCAGTGGATTCACGTCACCTACAAAAAAAAAATACATCAACAAAATTAAACTGACAATCACGATAATAGATGTCACAGAAAGTACTGTTTTTACCTGACAGCCGGTACAAGGCGGCTTGATCGACGCTAGTTTTTTGAGAAAGCGTCGCATCCGGGTTTCTACTTGGTTTAGGTTGACACGGAACGGCTTTGGTACCCGTCCTGGGTCCGCCAAATTTACCGGCGCCCACGGCGAATGTCACACATTGATTACGAGCTACCAAATTGCCATTTTGATCGAAGGTATCGACTGAAGTAAAAAAAAATCGTAAAATACGACTCAAGAACTCCTGAATGAATTATACTTACTATCGCAAACAATTGCGGCACCGGAACCCTTGTCTAACACCTCGGAAATTCTGAACTTCGACACCAATTTTCCGTCTTGCGGCGGTACTTCTCCCACCATTTCGATGTAGTGTTCCCCATGCAGAACTTGTTCCAAACCGATTTCTTTACCGGGTACAGCGCGGCTGACAGCGCTAGACGTAAACATAACCTGCATGGCGGGCATGATGTAGTACGTCGGTAAGACGGAGAAGTCTTCGCTATTTTCATACAGATATTTCAATTCGTTTTCCGCAGTAACCGAAGCGCCAACTACGAGATTAAAAACGATTAAATAACGTCAAACGCCATAATGATAGGTATCAAACGACAAGTGACGTTTACAATTACAATTGTCATTACCGGCATCACCAACATAGGTAGGTGTATAATTATCAGTCGTTTTTTGTTGACGGGTTATTTGTTAATAAAAATTGTCGTTTTGTTTAATTTTTAAAATAAATCTTTATTTTTAGGTCATAAAAATACACATCGATAATAACACTCATTCGTCAAATTAGGCTTTACCACTTCGAAAAGGAATAAGCAAGGCAGTCATGTCGCGATCTTAATGAAATGTTTGGCGAAAAAACAATCAGGGAAAGTCGATTCAGGGAATGGTTTGGCGTTTCAAATTTGGCGACACTAACTTGGTAGATAATCCAGGAAGAGGTCAAAAGTTTGACAACTACAATGCTAGCCGAAGACTTCTTTGAAAAACGCCTGATAATTATGCACCAACCTAATAGTATCATCCTGTTCGGGTATTCTTACCTCCCAATGCGTACAAAATGGTATCTTTGTTACAAAACTGAAACACATCACTTTCTTCCCCACCTACACCATCAGTTCCGCTTCTTAAACCGTCTAGAGATGACATTAAAGCTCCCGTGGCGTCTTGGATAGATTCTAATCGTTGAGCGTTGGAGATATCTCTAATTATCGACCAGTTGTCTCTGACGTTTTCGATAGAGACGTCATCTTCGGGTCTTCTACGTAATAAAGAACCGTTAGCTCTGACTATTGTGCAACGACCGGCCCAGCCTGCTGCCGATTCTATGATTGAACCGTTTTCTTGGCAGCTTTCGTGGCAAAGGTAAGCCTGGAAAAAGTTAGGCCCATGAAGATCTGAGGTCCTATTTTTAAATATAAAATAAAACAACCAAGATAAGGTAAGCATGCAGGGGCGCATATACAGGGGAGGGGGGTTATGGGATAAATACCCCCAAGAATTTTTAAACCTTTTTTTATAGGTACTAAAATGTATTATTACCAAAAATAAAGTCCTAAAGATTACCACTACCCTCCATACCTAAACTATATTACCACTACAACCGCCAAACTTAAACTCTGGATGCGCCACTGTGAACGTGGTGCTACTTTTCTATTAGAAATTTCAAAAACCATATCACCGATGACGTTTCTATTGAAAAATCGATAGAATCAGAAATAAACGGGACATTAATCTTCCGAGTATAGTCCTTTGTGTGAAAGGTTTCATTCTCCATGTAGAATCACCAATTCTGCTAATTTCAACCCTATATCAGAAATAACTGACGTGTAACTTCATATCAACAGTTCTATGGATCGCTCATGCAGTGTTTATGGTTTTCTCCCTTTCTCATACCATTTGTAGATATGACCGTCTCATTTACACAGCACTCAAGGCAATGGGTAGGTGTCGCCACCATAGCCCCTCTTTCTGTTCTGTCATGTATATATCTGTCAATTTTGTCATTAGTCAAAAGTCATACATTTCTAGCCTAGCTTTTCGTTAGAGGCTGTTATAAGGTCTTAACCTTTGCATCGAAAGTGTAGCACTGAGCTACGCCACTTCTGAAAATATCTTTTCATCCATTACAATTTGTATAAATCGCTCATCTTTTATGTGCACTCCTCGCAGGCAGGGAGTGGAATCGAAAACGCTAATAGTTGTTTTGAAAAGTTATTACGTAATATTAATGTGTTAGACAGTAAAGAATATGTGTTGTAAATTTAGTAAACTTATATTTTCTAATTACCTGTTCTGCATGCACCATGTTAAAATTTAACATAATAAATCATTTTCGAAATATGATTATAATAAAGCTTCTTACAACTTAATTACTTAAAATAGTTTTATTTTTAAGCACATAAGAAGAGCATGAAACAAGTAAGGACAACATATAATATATTAATGAGTTTAAGAGAGTGGTTAATAGCCAAGAAAATCTAATTTACCCTGCAGCAGAACCAGTGGTTACATATAAAAAAAATAAAAAATTTCTTCATATTAATATAGCTAATCTATTTTTAGTTAACTACAATGTATCGTTTGAATAAAACTATAATAACAATGGTCTACTACAATTTTATTAAATGTACATTTACCTTAATAATTTATTTGTCAGCTTTTTGTTCGAAAAATAATTATAAAAGAATTGAACTATAAAAAAATAATACCTACAGTGTTTTACTTAAGTTGGCAGTGTATGGAAAACTTATTATTAATTTTAGGAAAAAGTTACTCTTCATAAAAAGTTTGTGCTCAAATATAAAATACCTTGATATTTTCTGACAAACATTATAATAACTTTTACTTAAAACTAATATAATACATTTTTCATATACTGTTAACTAGATTAGACAACATTGTTTTATATTGTCTTCATTTAAAATTCCCGCTTGTTCATGACCTATCCCAATGTTTGTCTTAATAAAATGGTTACCAATGCAGGAAGAGAACATTTAAAAGGATCAATGATATCCGAATTTCCAGTTCTGTGAGCGCGTGCCTTTTATTAAATCGTCCAGTCAAATTTTGCCGAACCAATTATTTATATTGAGTTGCCCGTCTCGTCGGAAAACCTTTAATCACATTTTTAGAGAAATAATAATAAATGACGTAGCTCGCAGTATTGCCGAATCGAAAATCTGAAAGTTCCCATCACAAGATTCCAGAATTATAGTTTCCCTCGCCCTCGCTAGTCATAAAAATTAAAATAAATTGCAACAGAATGAGGGTCAATTAAAAAGAATCTATAATGATAGAACGGCACACGGAAAATGGCCATAATAAAGACAATTCGGGCATATTGCCGACATCCCTAAATGACTAAATATTGAACTATTAAAATAGAAATAATAAGATTACTTAGCGAAAAAGTCAGACACTCTTTATTGTGGAAACCAATAAGGGTGAAAAGAGAATTAACAAAATTCCCGAAAAATATTATATCCACATAAAATACCCAACCCACCAAACTCGAAATTTTTATCTGGATAGCTATTCACTAAGTCATGAGAGCGCTCCCATGGGAGTGTTCCCATATATTTTGCTCTCTTACTCTTAAGTGGGTATATCGTGCTTACTCCGACCTAACTACGCATGTACCTGGGCTAAAAGTGAGTAAGCACGATATTACCACCTAAGAGTAAGAGAGCAAAATATATGGGAACACTCCCATGGGAACACTCCCATGACGTGAATAGCTATCCTGAACAGGAAATTTCCGTACAAGCGGCAACACTGCGAATAAGTTTAAACCAGAAACACAAACTTTGACCATAGCACAACAAATATGACAGTAACCCTTAACAGTTCTCTACCTGTATTACGAGTTGCATAAATACAGTATTTTTTACTTTTTATTTGTAAATCCAAAACAAAAGGGTATACTAAAAATAAAATTAATCTACAAAAAAATCATTAAATATGAACATTTGTATTCTATGTAAATTTATTCTGAAATGGTAATAAGTGTTGAATTATTGAAATTAGATACCTATGACATTGACCAAGAACTTGAATCTACAGGGTAGCCCATTAATGCGAAAAAGTCCATTAAACCTTATCATAAATATGAAAAAATGTTTTAGATAAAAGTTATAGTTTACTTTTTTGCGTATTTCTAAAATACTACGAAATAGGTATACAGGGTTACAACGGGAGTTTAAATGGCGACGTTTTTAAATAACTTTTCACTAATTTCAGCGTAAAATTAAATGTTACATTATAATACTAGTTTTTTTTTTTTAATTCTGAAACGTCAATTTATGACCAAGATGAGAATGGGGTCTATTCTGTAACAATTCCTTTATATTTAACGGCCTTTAAAACTATTTTCTTCTTTACTTCTGTCATTATTTAAACGGATCTTTAAAATACATTAGAGGACTATCTTAAAGAAATCTGTTTAAATAATGACAGAAGTAAATTAACGAATACCAACATATTTTTAAAGGCCGCCAATATTTTTAAAGGCCGTTAAATATAAAGGAATTGTTACAGAATATACCCCATTAAATACAAAAAAATTGTTCATGGTAGATATTATTAAAAAAGCTCATTGGCGGTTAAGTCAAAATATCGAATAAATACAAAGAAAAAAGTTAACTGAAATGTATTCTCTCAAACATTTCAGAGTTTATTTTTATGAACTTGCTAATCTTTAAAACATCTAAAATTTCGTTTTTTGTAATTGATTAAAAGTGATGGTTTTCGATAAATTTTTGTTTTATCTGATGAATTAAAAATATAAAAGAAATATAGGACTTCCACGCACTAATGGGTCACCTTGTATACCACTTAAAATATCTAGACATTGCAAAAACAAATAGTGTCTCACATGTTTTGATCGACATGACATTTGCCTGAACTTTTTATTAATAAACTTATAAAGAAAAACAATACTGTTTGAATGTTCAACCTCTCACATTATACAGAATGACTCAATAAAGACTTTCAGAGTAAATATTTCCAAAACTATTAGTATACTCTCCTACCACATTAAATATGCTGTTGTGATAACAAGACGGTTTTGATCATCATGAGACATGTCAAAACTTTGTATTAATAAGATAATAAAGAAAAACGATATTGTTTGAGTTTTTGATCTTTTGCGATATACAGGGTTGCTCAATAAAGACTTCCAGAGTAAATATTTCCAAAACTATAATTATGCTTCTGCCACACTACATTAAAAGTAGATATCAACTTTAAAACTGTTTAGAAGAAAATGTCTTACCACTACAGGTGCTATCAATTCTGGTTTCAACTCGGCATACAAATCTGGTGGCAAAATATCTTCAGTGAGTCTACTGGCAGCAGTTGGCACGATCACATTACAAAAAATGTTGTTTTTGCGTCCTTCGATGGCCACAGTATTGGCCAGACCCACCAAACCTAGCTTGGCTGATGAATAGTTTGCCTGTCCGAAATTGCCTAGAAAATACTTCAAATTTGGATGTGTTGTTTAATTTTGTGGAAATAAAGTTATTATGCACTAGTAGGATGTTCTTCAACAAAAGTAATGGTTTAAAGTGTCATTGGAAGTGAATTCGAAAGAAATGGAAACCCATTTTTACTAAATACCTATCAAGAAATTAGCGAAAATGAATTATCAATTTTGGTAGGTTATAAAATTATTAAGCACATAGTTTTTGTCCCATTTTAAAATAAAAATTAATTCAACAAAACCTCCATAAACTAATGCCAAATATCAATTTACAGTTGTCACAAAGTAAAATAAATAAATTTACATTATTTCATCGTTTAAAAAAGGAAGAAAAAAAAAACAGAAACAAAATATTTTCAAAATTTACAATTATTTATCAACTAAAAATATCAATTAATTCGCCGTTTCAAAAAAGAATCAAGTTGATACTATTATAAAGTATGATTATACTCTTTATTGGTTAACTTTGATTATAGTGGATGTTTTATAATTTACAGTTAAAAAATCAGTGTAAAATCAATTAAATTACCATATAAACCAGAATTTGAAGCTGTCATTATGATCCTTCCATAATTTTGCTTTTTGAACACTGGGAAAGCAGCCTGTGTTGTTTTAAAACTTCCTTTTAAATGTACACTATGTACCAAATCTAAAAAGAATTAATATATTTACTTTTATTATACTCCATCAATTAATATTAATGACAGAACTATAATCTTAATATTATTATATATTATCTTTAAAAACTATATTTTGTTTTTAAGTAGGTATTTAGCTACTTGATCTCTTACCCCAATCTTGATCTGTAATTTTTGCAAAACTTTTATCCCTCAAAATGCCTGCATTATTTATTAGAATGTCCACACGTCCAAAGTTGTCCAAAGCAGTTTTGATGATTTTTTCACCATCAACTACAGAATTATAGTCTGCTACAGCTGTACCACCTAAAATAAACAATTAAATATAACCCTGAGATTGAATATGGCAATGTATTTTGTCATTTCCACAAAATATTAATATTTAACGTATTATTATTATTATTATTATTGCTGCTGTATAAGTAATTAATGCATAGGTACCATTTCTTTTAATCTCATCAACGACAGCATCAGCTGCCTTAGAAGAGCTACCGTCTCCATGTCTTCCACCACCCAAATCATTGACAACCACTTTGGCCCCTCTCGAAGCAAATAACAGAGCGTAAGCCTTCCCTAGACCAGCTCCAGCTCCTGTAACAACCACTACACGACCGTCAAATCTTAAATCTGCCATTTTTCAGAACAAATTCTAAAGATCTGTCTGTTTCTACGGTAGTCGAAATTAAAACTGGAAATTGCCGATTAAACCTGTTTCACGCTGCTTATCGTTATCGTAAAAAAAATAATATTGTACATTGAACTTTGAACAAATGTGAAAGTATTCAATTCAAAACGTCATTTAAATTTTAAATGTATTCTAACCTTAAAGTTTGTTTTGTTGTCATAATCAAGCAACGTTGCCATAGCTATATAGAAAATCGAAGATTGTTATGCTGCGTTTGAGAATCCACATCGGATGCATCTGAGATGTAAAAAATCTTTGATCACGTGGTTCAGTATACGTAAATGTAATGGGACAGATGTGTCCGATAGTCCGATGTGGATAAAAAAACGCTCGAGATGTAAAAAATGCATCCGATGTGGATTCTCAAACGCAGCATTTATAATTCTATTAAAATTTATCGAAATTCGTAATAGCTATTTGGTATTATCATATCAAAATACTATAACTATGAGTATTGCTTTCTGAAAGAAACTGACCACTGTTTAAATGTACTTTTTATCAAAAGATAACAGTTATTTAGGCATTCCAAACAAAATGGTTGCCTGTGGGTTATGAAATGGCAACTCTGTGAGCCAGACGATTTGACAGGGTCAATGTTATAGCATAATACATAGATTGATCAAACTAGTCTTCATATGCTGCGTTTGAATTTACATCGGATGCATCTGAGATGTTGTAAATCTTGGATCACGTGATGTATACTAATGCCGCGTTTGATAATCCACATCGGATGCATCTGAGACTCTGAGATGTAATAAATCTTTGATCACGTGATTCAGTATAAGTAAATGTAATGGAACAGATGTGTCCGATGTGGATAAAAAAACGCTCGAGATGTAAAAAATGCATCCAATGTGAATTCTCAAACGCGGCAGTAAATGTAGTAGGCACATACTTTGATTTTCTTTTACTATACGGAGAATGGTCGCACTGTGCAGCTTTCTGAGTGCCTTTTAAAAGGAGATAGAAAACTCCGCCTTTTTGAACCCTTATTACGTGTTGCCTACATCTTGGCGCAATATTTATAATAGGTGCGTTTTAGGTCCGGTTTTTCAATCTCCGGCTATTTAGGATAGCTGGCAGCTACGGAGATAGCCGTCAGCCACTGACTGTCAAAACGTTTTTCGACCTCCAGTTATACGATAGCCGTCAGCTATTTTGACTGTAACCGTAAGGGTCGGTTTTTCAATGTCCAGTCAAAGTGGCTGTTACGTAGCCGACAGCTATATTTAGCTGGCAGTCAAAGTCCCTGTTACCGATGGAATATGGATGGAAGTGTTTTTCATCACGAATTTAACTGCTAGCTACGTAGTCTAATAGGTTTTATTTATTCTTAGACAGGTTGGCATTTCTGCTAATTTGTTAAATGGTTTTTATTGGATAATTTAAATTTTCCGTTTTACATATCGTGTCTTGTGTTGATCGTCACCGACCTTCACATAAAAATTGTTCTATTTTGCTTCCATTTTTCTTTAAGATCTTGTTATTTTCTGTTTTTGGGCAATTGGTGATTTAGAAAAAAGAGAAAATATCTAATTACGCGGAATCAGATAGAGCCATACTATTGAAATTTGGTTATCTTACAAAATGTAAAAAAAAAAAACGGAAAATGCAATATCACGGAAACGAAATGAGAAGGTTGCAGAAAAATCTAAAATTTAATATTTCGGCATCAACTGCTATGGTTATTAGCCTCGTGTTCTGTGTAGGCTTTGTTACTGTTTCCCAGCGCCACTTTAGGAACAGCACTGTTAATTAGTACCCAACAGTGAATGGTAGGATTCCCCACTCGACCATTTACTGTTGGGTACAAATTAACAGTGTTGTTCCTAAAGTGGCGCTGGGAAACAGTTACAAAGTCTACACAGAACACGAGGCTAATAACCATAGCAGTTGATGCCGATGACACAAAAAACAAAACAAAAATAAAATTCAGTTCATCGATATCGAAATAAATGGGCCGTTCCCTTACAACACACGGATTACACGGTCATCATTGATTAATATTCAATAATTTAAATAATTTATTTTTTGGCATCGTCGCTGTGAATATATTCAAAGAAACCCATTTTTCAGAAATAAAATTAATAAAAATATTAACCTCTAAATTTGACAAACAACGTCCTACGCATGTACAATAAATAGCTGGCAGCTATCTATACGAAATTACCACTTGCAAGTGTCGGTTACGGTTACAGTCAAAATAGCTGACGGCTATCGTATAACTGGAGGTCGAAAAACGTTTTGACAGTCAGTGGCTGACGGCTATCTCCGTAGCTGCCAGCTATCCTAAATAGCCGGAGATTGAAAAACCGGACCTAACCGACACTTGCAAGTGGTAATTTCGTATAGATAGCCGCCAGCTATTTATTGTACATGCCTAGGACGTTGTTTGTCAAATTTAGAGGTTAATATTTTTATTAATTTTATTTCTGAAAAATGGGTTTCTTTGAATATATTCACAGCGACGATGCCAAAAAATAAATTATTTAAATTATTGAATATTAATCAATGATGACCGTGTAATCCGTGTGTTGTAAGGGAAAGGCCCATTTATTTCGATATCGATGAACTGAATTTTATTTTTTTTTTGTTTTTTGTGTCATTGGCATCAACTGCTATGGTTATTAGCCTCGTGTTCTGTGTAGACTTTGTAACTGTTTCCCAGCGCCACTTTAGGAACAACACTGTTAATTAGTACCCAACAGTAAATGGTCGAGTGGGGAATCCTACCATTCACTGTTGGGTACTAATTAACAGTGCTGTTCCTACCCAGCTAGCACATAACGTTGCCAAGCCTTTCGGCGATGTTGCATTAAGGGAACGTAATAACATTACTGTACAACGTAAATGCAACGTTCATGAGAAGTTGTTGAGGGAAATCAAAACCTCGCAAAACTTCTATTTGTTATTTACCTAGTTAACCTACCGTAAACATTACAAATCTGAATTCAGAACGTTTAGTTTTATGTCAATTGTCACTTGTCAGTTTTTCTTGTCAATTGTCTTTTTTAATGGTTTATTCATAGAAAAACTAAAAAGAGAAGGTTTGAATAATAGGCGGGAATTGTTTCCTTGTTTGTAGTTTATCATATCGCGCTTCACGCGCTGCGAGCACTAAATAAAAGCCGTTTTTACACCCATATGATAATTAAAAAATGAATAAATTTTAAAGAAATCAATAATTTTACTAATGCAATCTTTTAAATATCACTTTAATATAATATAATGATCAAATACAGGGATAATTGTTATAAATTTATAAAGTTAAAGCTACATTTGAATATTATGAGGTGGTGTAAATCTGGCTTTGCTAATAAATTAGGTTATGTTACACTAAAACATGACAGTCGTGGAAAATGTAGGTGAGTAAAATTTAATTAATCTTATTTTTAATTTAGTTTTAGTTAAATTTAAGTAATTTATAGGTGTAAAAATATACTGAGGTCCTTAACGATGTCATTAACTTATAATAAATTCACATTATCATATGCTGCTCCAAATTGCAGAAGCAAATATTATTTACATTCACTTAATAAGAAATTTTTTACTTTTCCGTCCATTATTACCCTTAGAGAGAAATGGTTTGATATTTTAAATATTCCCTACACATCTAAAAAAAACTATAGTGCGAGGATCATTTTGACGAGAATGCCTTCACCAGCACTTTGCCTACTAAGCTCATTAAATTTGCCTTGCCTTTAGCGCCTTTAGAAGAGAATATTACTACTAATAATAATATTACATTAGATGAAAATTTTTCAAAGCTACCTTCATCAAATTCTCTTGCAAAAATAAATGTAATTAGTAATGTTTTGATTAAACCTTCTGTTTCGAATATAACTTCAGCTAAAAGAAAGCTAGATTTTTTTAATGATAGAATTGAATGTGTTGAGGAACCTTTAATAAAGAAACCACGTGTAAGAACTGGTATTTTAAATCAAATTAATGCAACTACAATTGGTAATTTAACTCCTAGAAAGAGAAAATGTTATTATATTAATCGAGAGCAGCAAAACAAAATTTCAAGATTAAAAAATAGTTTATTAAAATCTAAAAATACAATTAAGACTGCTTTAAAATTATCAGAAACAAATTTATTTAAAAATTTTAGTCTAATTTTAAGATACACACTGCGCCTTTATTTTTGTTGTTTTAGTTATTCCTGAGTATGGAGATTTTTGGAATGGATATTGCAACTACAATGAACCGAAATAGATGGGTGAAGGCCGAAGGGATAGTAAAGTGGTTTAGTGCCAGAGTTACCTAACCAACAAAATTTCAAAACAACTGGTCTTTGTTATTGTTTTAAAATCATTTCTATACATGCCAAAGTTACCTATTCCTTAAAATTATGTAGTTCATGACAAAATTAAATACTTATTTGACAAGTGACTATTTTTAAATTTTTCTTAAACTTTGATCTCAACTTAATTAATTATTTTTTAGCAACTCTGGCACTGGAACACCCAATAGAGCTTAAGAATAATAAAAAAAATTTCAGGTAGTAAACTCAATTTATTTTTAATGTGTACTTTTTGTGATAATGTGTAATTTTGTGATATTAGGTAATTTTATAGATATAAAATAATAATATTAATAACAATAATAATCGTGATTAGTGTAAACGTATTGTGAATATGATGTTTAATATAATGTAATGATATAGTTACCTATTCTAAATAAAATAAACTTATTACAAATGTTTTTATTTTTCATTTAAAACAAGTGACATTTTCCGTTTTTCAGCATTTACTTACAATAAAAATTCATTTTACTTATTGATTGTTTCAATTATTGTAAGTAAAAGCTGTAAAATAGGAAAATGTTACTTGAAATTACTTCAAGTTTCATAAATTTTAAAGCCCGCCATTTTTTAAATCGCTTTACCTAGTAGTTTTCTACTTTACCGACTGTACCGAATTATAGTTCATCATAACGCGCTCAGCGCGCCACTGTCGAGGTCAAACAAACTTGTTACCAACTATTTGCAGGGGAACTGGCTACCCTCGTTGTGTTAAATGGAGATTAAAATGACATTGTTAAAGTAAAACTGTCATTTTAAAATTCGTTTAACACAACGGTGGAATCGGCCCTTAAGGACCGATTCCACCGT